AAAAAAAAAAAAATATATATATATATATATATTGTATATGCTATTTTTGTATTATTTATATTATAGTAGTTGATTATATTAAATTATAAATTATATATATTTTTTACATATATTAAATACAATAAATAATACTAAAACAATGCTGGATTGTGTATATACAGTGGTTACTCTGTAGTGTATACCATTTTATTAACTAGTTTGTCTTGTGCTAAATGTCAACACAAAGTTTGTAAGAGAAAATAATAATTTCCCCCTTTTTTCTCTGGAGGAAAGTAATGATTTGATGTGAATTGCTCTCAGATCGCTGTAAAACAGAAAAAACAGAAACAGAGGGTCAGCTCTGAGGATTTACCGAGCTTCTTCTTGGCCTCCTCAAAGAAGTTACTGCACACACACACACACACACACACACACACACACACACAAAAACACTTCAGAATATTTCAGCTATTCCAAGGAAGAGGCAAATCAAGTCTGACTGGCACAAGCTTTTAAGTCAACAGCAAAAAAAAAAAAAAAACATTTTATCTTTTCTCGTTAAAGTTGATAAGTTTGTCTATTTTTTTAATCCTAAATACGCACAAATATGGTTGCATTTTATTTTTTTGCATGCACCATTGCCCCCCCCCGTCTACAACCAATCAGAACAGGTATATAATCCGCCATAAAAAAACCTGTAAAAGTGAAACTGATATAAGTATTCCACACTAAAGGTAAACACAGTTCATAAAGTTAGACAGACCTGATGAGGGAAACTGAGTGTTTCTGACAGTTTGCTTATTTGGCCAAGCGTGCTGAGATCTTCATCCAGACGGCTGATGGTTTTCTGGATGTTTTCTCTGTTAGTGGCTTGATTAGAACCTGTGATGAAGAAATGATATTGGGTCAGTAAAAGAGCATCAAAGTTCAACTAAGTGTAATGGAAAAGAATATAAAAGGGGTAAATAAATAAATAATGCATACATTCAATCAATTAAATAAATGAATAATAACAAATAATACAAACTTAAATAAATACCAGAAAATAACATAAAAGTGGCAATAATAATAATAATAAAAAAACATTAAATTAAATAAATAATACATAAAAATAAATGAATGAATTCAATTAAATAATTAATAATAATTCAAATTAATATTATATCAATTAAAATAAATAAAATGGATACCAATACTACTGCTAATTTAGATAGATAGATAGATAGAAAAGGTATAGATAACTCTAGGGCATTTTGTCTTCCTAAAGTAACCCAGGAAAGGGCTCCACATTTGAAAAAAGACCTCAGGTTTCTGTCTCACTGTGAATCTGAACTTTTAAGAGCATATATATATATATATATATATAAAAAAACATGGCAATCATGTAAATCATGTCATACTGATTGTGTGAGATAATAACACTACCTTTAACCACCTCAATGTCTTCTAAGGGCAGTTTCCACAGGAACTTATATTTACTCGAGGTGTCAATGACACTAGCAGCGGCGTATCTGAAAGAGAAGCAGAGAGAGAATTGAATCATCAGTCGAGGATTTTTTCCAGCATGGGTTGATGTGCGCTAGTAATTAATGATCTATTCTGATATCTGATAGTTTGCTGGTTCAAATGTGGTGAGGGTTAATCATGAAAGATCACTGTTGAACTCATGAATGAGCATCTACAGTGCATTTTTCTTCTGTAACGTGATGCATTTCCTTATTTTGATTGATGTCCCAGAAATAAGTGTCCTGGGAATCACTTTAGATGAAAGCGTATGCTAAATAAGATTATTTATGTGGTGTTTCCATGACAGTCCACTAGAGTGCAGTGTTATTCAGAAATTAAATGCATTTATTTTAGCCATCAGGTGCAGAAGAGCTCAGGGGACTCTGGGGGTTTCTAAACCAAACATGAGTTTTCCCAGGCCCTCCTCACATCTCTGCACTATTAAAAGAAAACTGCGAACGCGCAGCCGCACTCACAGACTCATGGAGCTCCTGCGCAGAGATCCAGACTTTCTCTTCAGCGTGGTGCAGATGAGCAGATCGCTGAACAGAAACAGAGACCGGTCCTTCTTACCGCCCACCGTTTTCTGCAGAGAAGGACAGAGGTTTAGGAAGCTCATACGTTGGCTTAAAGTGATTTGATTTCTTGTGTTTATTTGTGCTCACCGCTTCCACCACCATCTCTTGTCTTAGAAACGTCCTCTGTGGATTCAGGATCTGACAGGAAAAAAAAAACATTATTAGATATAGCTGAAGGCAAACTAGCCTACATACTACTGTAACATGTTTGTGTGGTATCAGTCGAACATATCTAATCAATGTGAAACGATTTGCAACCAAAACTGTAAATGCACTGAAAAAAAAAGATTATTTTTCAGTTGACAGATTGAAAATCTATTGTTTTTTTGGGCAAAGATTTACTTAATTTTGATAAATTTTTCACAAAACAAGACTTGATATCTTATGGCAAGGCAAGTTTATTTATATAGTACTTTTCATTTATGATGGTAATTTAAAGTGCTTTTTAAAGGGATTTAAAAAAAAAATCATAAAAGATGCATAAGAAATAAAAATGTAGTTAAAATATTTAACATATTAACACATTTACTCAACATTAAACAGATTTCACAATAAAAACTGTAAATACACTGCAAAAATAATTTTCTTACTCAGTATTTTTGTCTTTTTCACCAGTACAAATATCTAAACAGAAGATGTAAAATATTAAGTCTTGTTTTCTGAAAAAACTAAATTAAATTAAAAATTAAAAAGCAATTTAAAGGTTTAATTTATATATTAGAACCTATAAAAAAAATCATCTTAAAAAATCATAAAAGAAAGAAAAATGGAATTGAAACCAAGTTTTAATCACTTCAGTTAATAAACTGGATGAGTGATTTTGAGTGATCTCTCACATGCTCCACGCCCTCGATGTGCGCCTCGATCTCCTGCATGACGCGTGTCTCTTTCTCCAGCTCCTCCGCGGTGCGCCGGCCCTTGTTGATCCTCTCAGCCAATCGCTTGATGTTCTTCTGGGCGTCCAGCAAAAACAGGTAGTCAGGGTGATCTTCAGGAGTGTGCTTCAGAAGATCCTGATCCATACAAACAATGTGTCATTTAAAAACTAAACTACCTAAATTACAGCTAGTACCTAAAAAGACACTTATAAAAATTGATAGTTTCAGTCCTAGATATTCAAGGACTGTATATTATAGCAGAATGACAATTAATTTAAGCATTTTTTTGTCCTTAAAATTAACAAACCAGATGAGTAAATATTAAGGATTTTAACTAGTTGCTAAATGGTGGTCACATACAAAACATACAGGGCTGAATGATTTAAGAAAAATAAAATGGCATTTTTCTGATAAAAATTGAGATTGTGATTTAAAATGATTTTTTTGTTTGTTTTTGAAAGAGCTCCAGGTTTGCTGTACTTGTGTGTAAAATAAAACTATTATTTTTTACTCTGCCAGTACTCTAACAATAGTATAATAATAATAATAATAATAATAATAAATATTATAATTATTATTACTACTACTACTACTACTACTACTACTATTATTATTATTATTAAATAAAAAGAGTATTAAATAATAAAAAAAAATTACAATACAACAGTAACATTACAATGCTAAAATTTATGTCCTAATTTCAAACATTAAATCTTTGAGCTTTTATTTAGGGGCAAATCTACCAAAGTTAGGATTATAAATGTTTCTCATTACAAATGTGTTGAAATGGATGGCACATGTTTTATTCCAAAATGAACATTATAAGTGACACAATGATGCAGAGACTGAAATGATGCATATACTGCGAACCAAGCCACTGAAGTCACTGTTTTCAAAAGCTACAAGTCTGTGAATTTACACAGCTACAAACACGCTGCGCATGTTTAAATAAAATGCAGTCTTTGCAATTTGGTAATTCTAAGTCATATTGCATTTTTGATTATATTTCAATTAATCATTCAGCCCTGCCTGATGTGTTCCAAACCAGTACAAATACATTAAAAGTAGGGATGCGCCGATAGGATTTTTCTTTTGGCCGATACTGATACCGATTTTAAAAAAGAACTATTGGCCGATTCCGATACCGATATTGCTCAATTGCATAAAGCAGGGCTTAAAAACATTTGAGTAGAAAACATACCGTTTAATAACGTTATTTTTTAAACTTTTTCTTTGCCAATAATAATAATAATAATAATAATAATAAAGTACAGCGTTTAATTTACTCAAAAAGAAAAAAAAAATCATGAAGAGAGTCTTGAATGATCTCTCTTAGTCATAGCCAATATAGTATCATCTTTTCTAGATTTGCCAAAGGCAAATGTATTAAACAAAATAAAAAACGGTCAACGCATTAAAAACATTAAAGAATATTTTCAAGATATTTAAAAATGTTTCAGCATGGATAAAACAAAATATCGGCGGCCGATACATCGGTGCATCCCTAATTAAAAGACATGTTATCAATAAAAACGAACAGGCACAAAAAGGCAGAAATAAAATAGGAAGGTTAGTGTCACCTTAACTAGCAGCTCGTATCGTGGGATCCGCTGTACTGGCTTTATCATCAGATCACCCAGAGCTTGTTTCTCTTTATTCTCACGCATGCTTTGCTGAAGAGGAAAGACACAGAATAACAGAGAAAGAGCGAGACACAAAAAAAACAGTTTAGGAGTACAACTATACTTTATCATGATTTGAATTGCATGTGTACAGTTTATCCAACCAAGCTTTACTAGATAACTTGGTTTTAGTTCAGTTTGAGGAGGTACCACTAGAGGGCAGCAAATGATTCAGCTGAGAACATATGAAATTCATGCATATGAAATGTGTAAGGACTTTTTTTACTAAACAATATTACTAAAACTAAGAGTGGAAAAAAAAATGAAAACTAAAAAAAAAATAAAATAAAAGCTATTTGAAAACATGAATAAATACTATAATAGTGCAAATAATACTAAAATAACCAGTTTAACCTCACGCGTGTCACCATCTCTGGCTAAAGACATTAACAGTCCATCTTAAGCAGAAAATGAACGCTGTGTTTTAACAGGTCACAGTTTCTTTGCACAATGACAAAATCCATATATTTAAAGTTTAACTGTGCCAAATGGCCATATATAATGTCCTAGAGCTGCCAAACAGCCTCTCGAGGGGATAATTGTAGTGTAAAAGTAATTTTACGTACACATATGCACAGAAATAAAGCCGTAATGTACCTCTAGAAACTTTAGGAAAGCAGGCTTGGCCTCCTTGGCGATTCTCACTGCATCTTTGGCGTTCATGAAGTTGTCGATGTACGCTGAATAAATATTGGCGAGGATCTCTTTGGAAAACTGTGAGGAGAAAGCGGAGATATTATCAGCACTGAACAGAACAACTGTGCACCTTTACAAACTCTACTCAACCCTAGCCTGCAAATCATTGATAGAAACCTTTTAAAGAGCAATACTGTCCTTAGAAAATTATGAAAGGTTTCCTTGTGTCTAGTTCGCATTTGAACACTAAAAGTACACATGAAATGAAAATAAAATAAAATAAAAAAAAGTGTTTCATAGTTTATGTACTGCCACCCAGGTTTCCTCATGTCTAGTTTGTAGTTGTACATTAAAGTGCACATGAATGTAATATAACAAACGTAATTAAATCATTTGATATTTTAGTTTATCAAATAAGGTGAATGACCCTTGCTTTTTGTGTTTTGTTTCTGGTTATCTTGACTTTAGCATGTGACTTGGATTGTATGTTATTTAATAAAAGTAATAAAATAAGATAATGCCCCTTTCTTGCAGCTTGTTCTGTTCAGATGCATCTCAGAGATTTGAATTTGGAAAAAATGAATGAGAAAAACGTCTCCCAGAACCATAAAAACATCAGAATCATTACAAAACAACAATGAAAGCTACAGTAAATTACACTCAAATTACAACATGAGCGTAGGCATGAGCATAAGAGACGTTTCCACTGAGACTTCGGTTCAATGTCACAGGGTTCAGTGCAAGCCTAAAGCGACGCAGATCCTTAGAGAAACTCATAAAACACAATTACAGCATCTAAACGAGCAGCGGATCCCAGTGTTTGTCGACTTGTTTAGCCAGAGCCTATAAAAATCCTGCATTTGATGTGCGAACGTGAATCTGACAGGAACGTCTAAACAACACTGAACTAGCGGTGGTGAGGTGGTTTTACTCCATACCGAGGCAGAGGGTCAGACAGATTAAAACCCCACACCGAGACACTCAGCATTCCTTCAGTTTACACTCAACAAACTTTTATGCTCACCAAGGCTGCATGTATTTCATTAAAAACATAGTAAAAACTGTAAAAACTTGAAATTTTATTGCAATTTAAAATAGTTAAAACTGTTTTCTATTGTAATATATTTTAAAATGTCATATATTTCTGTGAAGCAAAGCTGAATTTTCAGCATCATTGCTCCAGTCTTCAGTGTCACGTGATCCTTCAGAAATCATTCTAATATGCTGATTTGCTTCTCAAGAGACATTTCCGATTAATATCAATGCTGAAAACAGTTGTGCTGCTTCATATTTTTGTGGAAACCATGCTACATTTTATTTTTCGGGATTCTTTGATTAAAAGAAAGTTCAAAAGATCAGCATTTATTTGAAATAAAAATCTTTTCTAACATTATAACATTATCTTTTGTAACATTTACTGTCACTTTTGATCAATTTAATATATCCTTGGTGAAGAAAAATACTAATTTCTTTTGTAAAAACTTATGGAAAAAAATATTTGAATGGTAGAGATGATACTTAAGATAAGACGAGGACCTAGCAGCAGGAGAAATTGTGTGTGTGTGTACAGTGTGTACAGTGTGTACTTGTGAAAGACAGAACGGCACCAGCATCACGACAGCACAGACCCTAACAATGTAAGTCCAGTGAGGTTAGACAGTGTGGCGTCCCTGTCAGCTAATAAGCCGCACATCATCCCTTTAGAACAGAAAACAAACACCTGCTACACGTCTGTCAGTACTGTCTGAGAGCCTCTCCTAGGCTAGCGTTCATGCACTAGCGGAGCAGATCTCTGGCTAAATGTACCACCCATGTGGGTGGCCAATCACAGAGGATGAATGACATCATCATTATGAGATGTGCTGTTAATGTGAAAATAGACTATTGAAATATCTCTTGATTACAGCAATTTTTAACAATTTGTTCCTAAGCTATTTCTGAACCAGGTCTTAAAGGCTGTAAAATTACTTGTGACATTTAAAGTGCCCCTATTATGGGTTATGAAAGGTTCATATTTTGGTTTTGGGAGTCCCCAACAACAGGTTGACATGCATGCAAGGTCATAAAAACACTTTCATTGTCTTATAATATGGGGAAGTCGTGGCCTAATGGTTAGAGAGTCAGACTCGTAACCCAAAGGTTGTGGGTTCGAGTCTCGTACCGGCAGGGATTGTAGGTGGGGGGAGTGAATGTACAGCACTCTCTCCCACCTTCAATACCACGACTGAGGTGCCCTTGAGCAAGGCACCGAACCCCCAACTGCTCCCCGGGCGCCGCAGCAAAAAATGGCTGCCCACTGCTCCGGGTGTGTGTGTGTTCACTGCTGTGTGTGTGCACTTTGGATGGGTAAATGCAGAGCACTAATTCCAAGTATGGGTCACCATACTTGGCCACATGTCACATCACTTTATATGCATTTATTTTTACCTTACTTGCTGATTGAGCGAATCGTTGACTCCCAAACGATTCGCTCAACGATTCATTTTTCCAAGCCCCTCCTTTGCGTGACGCTAATCTGCGGTGATTGGTCCGCATCATGCCTGTAATGCCTGATAAAGCAGCATTTGTGAGCGCAGTGCTGCTTTGTGTACAGCGTTACCGGGGAAACCGCTATTTTACCACTCCAAAAGAGGCACCTAGTGGCAAAGAATGAATTTGCATTTTCATTCACACCAACGCGAAAAGACCAACAAGTGCGGGGCCACATAATATGCATTTATTTTTACCTTACTTGCTCAACGACTCCCAAACGATTCGCTCAACGCTTCCATTTTTCCAAACCCCTCCTTTGCGTGACGCTAATCTGCGGTGATTGATCCAATTGGTCTGATTTTCATTTCATCTTGGCTGTAATGCCTGATAAAGCAGCATTTGTGAGCGCAGTGCTGCTTTGTGTACAGCGTTACCGGGGAAACCGCTATTTTACCACTCCAAAAGAGGCACCTAGTGGCAAAGAATGAATTTGCATTTTCATTCACACCAACGCGAAAAGACCAACAAGTGCGGGGCCACATATGCTAATGTTTCATGTTGACGTCAACACGAAACGGCTTGGGATTCGTTTTTAAAACGACTAGTTTCAAAAATTCAGAGTCGACTCTTTCTTTTGAGAGACAATAGCCGGGTTTCCATCCAAAGTTGCGAATTTAACTTGTGCGCCCATTTGCAAATGAAGCACTGTTTCCATCCAGTGAGTCAAAGAGAACAAAATTGTCACTTCCTGATAAACTGACTCTAAATATCACTAAGAAAAGTAGGAGAAGCCACTGAATATAATAATTTTCATATATAATACATTACTTCGCCTCAAGAGCGAGCAGACGAAACACAATAAATGCGGTCATTGCTTTCGGAGGAGAATGCCTGCTGTTTGGGAATGCAGTCTTGTAAGACAGTTCTGGGAGGCAATTATACAGAAATACTTTGATGACATACTTTGGCTCAGGCATTTCCAAATGACCAAAACAACATTTCAGATGCTGTGGAATGAGATCGGTCCGCTGGTTAGTCAGGTTATGCCGTCACAACGGTCCCATAGTGCAAAGTCACATGACTTTTTTGATGCACTTGGAGGAATTTATTCGCAAAATGCATTTCCATCTCCCATTATTCGTATTAACCCTTTTTCGCACAAGTCAAAAACCACCTCAAGCGAGCGTAAAAACTTTTTTGCGAATTAAGACATTTTTATTCGAAATTCAGCGTTTCTGATACGATACTTCAAAATGCGCATAAAAGCAGGGTGATGGAAACCCAGCTAATGGCTATGTTTCCATCACCCTGTTTTAATGTGCATTTTGAAGTATTGAGGTGGCTTTTGACTTGTGCGAAAAAGGGTTAATGCGAATAATGGGAGATGGAAACGCATTTTGCGAATAAATCCCGCATGAGCGTTCAAAAAAGTCATGTGACTGCGCTATGGGACAGCATAACCTGACTAACCGGCAGACCGATTTAGCTGCACAGCATCTGAAATGTTGTCATGGCCATTCTGAAGTGCCCGAGCAAAGTCTGTCATCAAAGTATTTCTGTATAACTGCCCCCCAGAACGGTCTACCATGACTGCATTCCTAAACAGCTGACATTCACCTCCGAAAGCCAGACCGCATTTATTGTGTTTCGTCTACTCACTCAAAGCGCAAGTAATTTATTATATTTGAGAATTATTATATTCAGTGGCTTCTCTTACTCAGTGATATTTGGTGCCAGTTTATCAGGAAGTGATGATTTTGTTCGCTCTGACTCGTTGGATGGAAACTCGTTTGCTTGTTCGCAAATGTTTTATGCGATATTCCAATTTTGCACATAAGTTAAATTCGCAACTTTGGATGGAAACCCGGCTATAACTTTATACACTATGCACTTTCAGATTTAAAACTTTGCAGGATGTTTTCATTCACTTAGAGCTGTGTTACACACTGCATGAAAGGTCATTTTCAAAAATCCATAATAAGGGCACTTTAAGTAAGGCAAAAAAATTAAAAACAAAAACACACTTCTTATATGAACTTCACTGGTGATAGGAAAGTACACACTTTTGAGTATGTAGTAAAACCGTAAGCCAGTATTGGGACATATTATGTACATATAATGTCATAAAATAGTGATTTGATCCAGAATTATTACCTAATATTTTTAATATTTAATAATTTTTTTAAACTTTGAGGTTCATGCATTTAAAAAATCCTTCAGCCTTGAGGTTTTTGACATTTTTCAATATATCAATAGAGAACCATCACAACTTCTCTTAAGTTGCACTTAAAAATCCACTAGAAATAGTACAACATCCAACATTAGTCTGGCCCATTTTATTTTTTTCTTAATTCTGTGTTTTCTATTTTAATTTTCTTGGATTCTATTTTAATGGTTAAATTAAATTTGAATGATCAAAATTCATTACACTTTAACAATTGACATATTTATTACAAATTTTCATAATAATAGTGCCCTATGAAATGTTTTATTTTTTCAGAAATTCTGTGTCATTGGTTTTAATTTTTCTGGATTCCGTGTTTCATGAATTAATACAAATTTATCACCAAAAAAGATGCTAATCAAATAAACAGAATACTTTAAAACCTTAATTTTTAAAAAATACAATCAAATGAAATTGCAACAATTTCTTTATTTTTTTTTTTGCCAACAGAGGTTGACAGTTTAAACTAAAGCATGGATGAAAAATTGTATGACATTTCTGAAAAATGTTTTAATAAATGATATTATTAGTAATGTCACTTTGAGAAATACATTCTATAGTCCAACAGTAATTAATTTTGTTAATAATTTCTTCAAGTTAACCCAAACATATATTTTGGCGGGGTGGAGTGAACACTTTTGAGGTTCTGTATGTATCTGATTATAATTGTATCAAATGAAATGGCGAAATGCTTGTGAAATTTGATTCCGTCCACATTTTCCACATTGCAGAAATCAAAGGGACCTAACATTAGCATCCAATTATCAATATACTTTAATATTCAATATATTCAGAATACTAATGTTGCATATTACTTAAGACAGCATGCAAATCAGGACACAGCATTAGTTCTCCTCGTCCAGATTGTGGACAATATTGCCCTAAAAAAGCATTTACAGATCTATAAAACCAAAAACCACCTGAAAAATTTGACCAACTACAGCGAACTAAGATTTGGGATGCTATTACCAAACAGCATTCAAACAGTGGTTAGGATCTCACCGACTGGATGAGCACATGTCCGATAGTCTGTTTGTCATGCCACTGGTTGACACAGTCCAGCACCTGCTCCAGGAACTGCTCGTGATGCTCCAGAATCTCAGGGATCTGGTAGAACATCTCGTCCACCAGAGACGGGTCACAGAGAGGCGAGTTTTCCGGGTGCTTGAGGGGCTTCATGTAGCCCTGAGACCAGAACAACAACAGAAAGAGAAGGAGGTGACGTGGGAAGAGCTGAAATTCTGCAGCTTTATTTACATAGAACAATTGTTACTTTTTTAGTAATAAATAAATCATAATCAATATTTTCATTGCAATGTATTATGGCATTAACTGCTGAAATTCCAATGCTGTCTAGGTAAGAAAGACTGTTAGAAACATTTAACATTGGTGCATGCTTGGCATATTAGACCAAGAATTTAATATGCAAAAATAAATATAAACAAATATGCATGCAAATATTAAAGAATATGCATTAGTAAATGACAGAATACGTGTGTGTTTCTGTGTTTGCATGTGGTGGTCTGGGACAGACTTTGATTAAAGGAAATGCCTGTGTCACATCAAAAGCAGATAAATATTCTGCTCGTCCGTCTTCACCATCACAAAACAGAGACTTTTTAAAACCAAAACAGTTTCTCAATGATTTTCTACAGCTCATTCATAATCAAAGACAACGAAAAATGCCTTTGCAACCCATTTTAATTGAGATCAAATGATAAAAATTTTTTTTTAAAGATTAAATAGATAAAATTACTTCACTCTTACATCAAAGAATTATTACCTAAAAGGAATTATCCTCAATAATACCAGAAATGTGTATTAATAAAGTATTAATAAATAGTCTAATTTGATCTTTTGTTGACTTCAAACACACTTACATCAGGTCAAACATCCCTTACAATAAAGAACTGTGATGTTACCATGGTACAGCCATGTATAAGATCATGTTATTTTCACATATTTTATGGTACTGAATGATGATCACATTCATATACTATGGTATTCACATGATACTTTTTCCTTTTTATTATTAGTAATAATAACATGGTTTTTGGACATAGTGGAAAAAGTATCATGTGAATACCATAGTACAAGTCCAAAAAACAATGTAACACACTCCCTGTTGGCACACAGAAGTGCGTCTGATTCAGTTTCTGTGTTTCGACTAGCAAGCATCTGGCCAGCGTTCTTCTAGCGCTTCAAACACTCTTAAAACGTGCCCAGAAACATGGCAGTGCCGCGATCGAGCGCTCTCGTCTGTCATCTATCTGTCCACATCCACACCTCGAAGCTGATTAACCTGCGCTTGTGCGTCTCTCTCTCACTGTTGGCTCAGGTTCGCCCGCTGCGCGCCATTTACAAGTAATGATGTTGACTGGAACACAATCATTTTCCCCAAAGATAACCACTTCCTTCAACACAGAACGAGAGCACAAACCATGCTGAGAATTGCTCAGTAATGGGGCATTGTGGAGGTGCGCTGGGCGATCGAGCTCAAACACTGCTGCGCTCCGCCACTCGCTCACCTTGTTGCCATGGCAACCGCTGCACCAGCTGGAATAGCTAGTCAGGAGCGATTGGAAAAGATGATGATTTGTTGCTCTCTTTTGCTTATTAAACTCAGCATGCGGCTTCCGCTCTCGCTCTTACAGTAACATCAGGCTTCCGTTGTTCTGTTCTATATTCACGGTAAATTGCGTGCAAATGATTTATGGGTATTAAACATCATATTCATGGGTTGTTTCATAAACACAAATTACATATGTTTAATGATACAGTGCGTTTTGGCCATTATGTTTGATGTGATAATTGTTGATTTTACAGAATTGCTTGCAAGTTTATGTATTTACTGTCCTGAGAAGAGAGTTAAAATGATAAAACCTTCATTTGCAGATATCCTCAGACATAAAATCAGTTTTATTAGCTTTATATAAGCTCAAAAGCAGTCTTTAGTATTCATTTAGACATGTACATGAATGTATTTGTGCGTTTCATACCTAAAAAAAAAAAAAAAAATTGTTGGCTAATTCTGGAGACTCAAAACGGCAATACCATTACAAACATTAACAATGGAAACCAAAGTTTAGACCAAAATACTGTAGTAAGTACAGTTATTAGAACTGCTTGTCACTTTTCAAACATCTAAAGTCTCAAAATCTTGCTGCAGCGTTTGTTCTCCAGACATGAATGATTCCTTGAATCATGTGTGTCATTGACGAGAGCTGAGCTGCTACTTTACTAACTGACCATATGCACCATTTTCACCCGCTGAGCCATAAAGCAGGTGTAAAAAATCCTACAGACGCATGTTAAAAGAGACATATCAAAGATCGCTGAGAAAAACCACCCAGAACACCCTAGCAACCACATAGCAATGTGGTAAAAAACAGTCAGAACATTTTATTAACCTCTTAAAAACCCTGTGGCGTAACATTCTAGTTTTACTCAAAGCAGTCAAGAACAGTATTTTGGTTGCTATAGTAATGTTTTGTAATGGAAACACACACAAACACACACTTTATAATGAAGCTCTAATCAAAATAAGAGTTTCCTGTTTACTGGTTTGTGTCAGAGACTGAGCCAAATATGTGTATGTTTCCGTCTAAGAGAAGATATCCTTCACTAACCGCTGTGATTCAGCCCTGAGCGACACCACACGACAAACACATCTGACTGAGACAGACAGAGAAGAGCTGATAATGACCAGGATGTGCTGCTCTTTCATGCTGGAGTATGTGAAGCAGCATCTCCTCTGAAATGCCCCGCTCAAACACGCAGTTTGACACGGATGGAATCTGAACAGGAAGTGCCACCCAAAGATACGTCTACCATGAACCGGGCTGGAGGAGAGAGAATGTACTAGGGTTGCTTCAAAATGCTGAACTTTACTTTTTAGACTGGTTCCTGGGAGCAGAAACTCTGTGTGTTTACAGAAACACTCATACGGCTTCCCAAGAGTTTATTTCTGAAAGAACGTCAGTAGCATCCCACACAAAGATCACCATTACAAAATCAGCCCCAAATATGGTTTAAAATCAGCTCAGAGAGATCAAGTTTGGGGTAATTAACTTAAGAAATTAACTGTTATTCAGCAAGGATGCATAAAACTGATTAAAAGTGACAGTAAAGACATTTATAATGTGACAAAAGATTTCTATTTTGAATTAATGCTATTCTTTTCATGACGATTTCCACAAAAATATTGTGCTGCACAACTGTTTTCAATATTGATAAAAATCAGAAATGTTTCTTGAGCAGTAAATCAGCATATTAGAATGATTTCTGAAGGATCATGTGACACTGAAGACTGGAGTGATGATGCTGAAAATTCACAGAATCACAGAAATAAATTACATTTGAAAATATATTCACATAGAAAACGGGTATTTTAAATTGTAATAATATTTCACAATTTTACAGTTTTTACTATGTTAAACATTGATCTGTATAAGTACATATATAAGTTTTACTAAAGTAATACACTAACACTTTAGATTATATATAGACTTGTTGATTATATCATTTTTTGCAGTGTACTATCATGACAGTATAGAATAAGAAATAGGTAACATACTAAAATGGAAAGAAAGCAAAGGAAAAAGCAAGCAAGCACGCAAGAAAGAAAGAAAAAGCGGCTGATATGTGTCATGTGTGCTTGCATCTCTTTCCTCCCATAAAAAGCAGGTGGTTTGACAGACTGTACTAACCAGCACGCCGTTTTGGCCGACATGCCCAGCTCTTAACTGCACTGAGTAAAGCTGAAACAAACCTGCTGAGAGTCGCTCTAAACCAACTCATTCTGAACCGGTTTATAGTGGTTTCCCAGCAGGCCGCTGCAGAATCTTGTTACTTTTCACTCAGGACAAATCAAACGCAGGACGAGCAGAGCTGTATATGCTGCGAGGAATTTTAAGAGATTACTGAGCCTTTGCCTGAACCTGGTGCTTAATATAAACTGGTAATAAAAACACATTTAACTGCATTTAGAGCGAAACGCTCTCTGGAGTCTCATCAGGGGGCCAGAAATGTGCCCAGCAGCTCCAACAGCATGTGTGGCAGCCGCAGAACACGTCCCAAAAGAGCAGCGGGTATTTCTGAAATGCCCTGATGACACAGACGCGGCCTGGCATTCAGTCACAGGTATGCTCAGTGGATTTGGAAAGGTTGGTCTATTAAAACTATTATGGAGACAGGAAAAAAATGAGTTAAACAGAAAATATAAATATGCATTAAAGTATGAATAAAAACATTTAAATTCCTACATATCGTTGATGCGTTTATCCAAAACAACTTACATTGCATTCACACTATAAATTATATTTTCATGCAATGCCTGGGAGTCGAACCCATGACCTTGGTGTGCTTTACTCTTTACAAACTATATAGACATATTGTTATGGAAATGACAGTGTGAAACAGAAATAAATGAAATGAAAAAATGGAACAAAATAAAATAATAATATATATAAAAAAGTGAATTTGTGATTGCAAAAGCATTTGGTGTGTAATTTCAGCGTCCCCACATAAAAAAAAAAAAAAGAGACAGAAATGAAACTTCACAGAAATAAAATGAAATGGAATAAAATAAAATATAATCTAAAATAATATATAATAAAATAAAATAATAATATAAATAATTTTATGTGAATTAGTGATTGCAAAAACATTTAGTGTGCAATTTCAGCATCACATTTAATAAAACAATTCTAAAACTAGTGATTATTCAAAAATTTAACTTAAATCAAATTGTTTAATGGAAATTTTTTTAAAAATCACACTGAAACTGAAAGACAAAATACAAAACAAGACCAAAATAAAAAGCAATAAAGTTATAGTGAAAACTATAATAACGCATTTTCTCAATAATTGTATACTGACAAAACTGATCATCAAAACTGAAAATCATACAAAATCTTCTCTCAGTACAACTACTTGCATTTCAACAGTAGACTGATCTCATAAACACATATACAGAAACTTATGTGTATCTTTTAATGCCTCTAATAATCATAATGTGATTAGATTGGTCACAACACACACACACGCAGTTCAGGTCTGAAAGTCAAAGCACAGCTTCATAACTGCATGAATCTAATTCATTTAAACATCATCAAAAGCCATGAACATTCCTGCTGTGTTGCTTACATAATGTCAAAAGGTGCCTTGTGCACCCGTCCCCTGGCTGTTCCCCTGATGCATTATGGGGCAATATCATTATAATGAAATCATAT